ACACCTACTTCATACGGTTCGATAATCATTATTTCTCTGAGGAATTCGTCGATTCCATATTCGATCGAGCTACATGCGAGGAAACATGATAAGGGATTGGAGAGTTTTGGACAAGATAATAATAGTGTCAGAGTAATAACAGAGTACAAATCTGAAACTTTCAATCAAGTTGAGCATCCAAGAAAACACACATGTTACATTATGTAGCAAAGAAGCCGTAATTGCAGGATTATGAATCTAAAGAAATGGTAATGGAATTGGAATCAGTGAGTGGAGAGGAAGAGAGGACGATCCTATGTGTCTTGGGTTTCCAGTGAGAAGATGAATCCAGGGCCACGATTTTCCTTAGAACAAGAAGCAAAATCTGATTGAACATGGCCATTTTTTATATATATTAATCAGCTCCGTTAACAGTTAAATTAACGGTGTTACCTATCATGTATGTTTAAGCCTAAATTTACAAGTTGGGGTATGTAAAAGCACTATCTCAAAAATTGGGTAAATATTTCCGCAATTACCCAGAGTTCGGATAAAAATAAGCCGAAAACCCCTAGGCTCATAGCCGAGTTTCATCATCTTGCCAAGAACAGCTAAAGCACGAGAGAGTTGCGAACGGCGACAAAAATAGTTAATGAAAATACTGTAAGTATACAAATCATTTGAAATTCCCAAAATTTGCATCTTCTCTCCCAGAGAAATCACAACATCAAACTTCTTCATCTTGACAATAGCACTCAACAGTTTATTGAACTTAATAATGGAAGGCAGAGGACGAGACTGTACCATATCTTTGAACAGACCAATAGCATCATCTAACTTATTATCATGAAGAAACACATCTCTAATCTTCTCTCTGTAACCAGAGAAAGCTCGTTCCAAGCAACAAATCGAAAACGAAGGAGAAGCATTTCCAAGGTTACCTTTCACCAGAAAACTCCGGCGAGCAAATCTTTTGGCCGTAATCGCAATCGCAAAACTCATCCTTCTCGATTTGGTTTCGTGTGGGTTCCCCCAACCAACCACTAAGACTGAGAGAGACAAAAGGACTGTGTAAAGTTATTAAACCGACCGGTTTAGATATTTCAATACGTTTTCTCTTTTTCTCTCTCTAAAATAAATTCTCTTCTGCTGAAAACTTTTCTGTGCTAAAGTTGTTTTCCGACCGGCGTTATAGCCGGTGGTCCGGTTGTATATATGTTTTTTTCTTTTATGTTGGTCGCTTCTCCAAGAGAATTCATCTCAAAAGGACACTTTGCGCAAAACATAATCTCAAAACTCCCCCCCCCCCCATTAAAATGATTTTTTGTTTGAATTAATTGAATTAATTTTAATCCGAAAATAGGTAAGTTACCTTCTTACCCTAGCCAGAACTTAAAAATTACATCTAATACCTGGTTTTAATCCGCCCAAACCGGATCGACCCGCGAGTGACCCAAACCGTCTCTCCAAACCGGAAATCCCTAACTGTTGCTCCTCTCTCCCCTCTCCCGGTGAAATCAAAACTGTCGACCTTCTTCATATCTCCGATTTTAGAAAATTTTCAAATTAAAACCACTACTCCTCTCAAAATCAAAATCGATTTTCGTTATCACTCTCAATTTCGATTTTCGTTCTCTCTCTCGAATTGATATCAATACCTCGACTCCGAAATAAATCTTGGGTGAGAAGGTCGGAAGTTGGTCTTCCGGAAATTGGTGAGAGGAATCAAAAAGGAGAGGCTGTTGTTCGGGGAATTTGGTGTTCCAGATGTTGAAAAGACGAATGAAGAAGGAGAGGAAGATGCACGGGAAGTTGTTGTTCTGGAAGTTGAAAACAGGAATGAAGAAGAATGGTTGAAAACACGAATGAAGAAGAAAGGGTTCATATGTGGGTTGAGAGTGAAGAAGAAAAAGAAGACGACGACGAGACTCCTTCGGTGAATATTATGAAGAAAAAGAAGACAGGCAGAAAGAAGAAGGGAGGAGTAGTTCGCAAAAGAGACATGGGTCCGAAGAAGAAGAAGATAATGGGAGATGAGAGGGAGTCTCCGGCTCCTACTCCGGTTGAGGAGGTGCG